AAGTCAGAGCACAAAAACCTTTTTGTAACAAAATATCGATTTCTGCTGTCCCTGTATCCATACATTATTAGCAAACAAAATATCACCATACTACATAGTATCGATTTTCTCCCCACCCCTACTAAAAACCGATAAAAACCCTGAAAACCATACATTTCACACCCGAGTCTCACTCTTGCGGCCCGGCACTAAATGACTCACGGACCGGTACCGGTCCGAGGCCCGGGGGTTGGGGACCGCTGGCATACTATACTATTCAGAAAATGAATGGGACCCTTACACTTTTATGCCAAAAATCTAAGTTAAAAATTTCCCTTAACTTTGGTTAGTTATGTGACAATAGTAATATGAGTTGCAACTTACTCAGGCCCTGCACGTTTTTAAAGTCTTTAATTTAAAACCTAAGTAGTACAAAAACTGGTTTTATGGTTTTTTAAAGTTTGTGGTGATTTTATGGGTAACTGATATTAATAATATAGTTTCTACTAACCAAAGTTAGTTTGGTTTGTGGGTTAGGTTGTTTTGTTCTCAACAAATTATACAATGTTTGTCAGTAACAATTTTTACTTTGACTATTTCATTCATCAAGATCTGATGAGAGCCCTCATTGGAGCAGTATTTATATAATAACTGAAAGGTTGTTCATCAATTTACAGGGTCCTTGTCTTATACCTTGGGAATCTCTACAGTCTCATCATTGCTCTCCTTGATAAAGTCAACAGTATGAGCTCTGCAGTGAGTATGTTAACTAGCCTCAGTTAAGAATTAGTTATCTTATTTTAAATTTGAACACTATTTAGAAAATAATATGAGATTAATAATTTAATTTGCTGGTCATTCATTTTGCCACAGTTACTAGAAAATAGCACAAACAAGTTACCAAATATTTAACCATGAAAGAATTGCTACAAAAATCATGTTTTGAAAATGCAGTATTTAGTGGACCTTCTGATGAAATTAAAAAGGTAAATGGTAAATGGTCTGTATTTGTATCGTGCTTTTCTAGTCCCTAAGGGCCCCAAAGCGCTTTACACATTCAGTCATCCACACATTCACACACACATTCACACACTGGTGATGGCAGCTACATTGTAGCCACAGCCATCCTGGGGCGCACTGACAGAGGCGAATATTGATGAATATTAATATGAGTTTAAATCTGTATTGTGACTCAGGCATTTTATTTATTTTTTGTTGCAATTTATTATTTAAAAATATAGTGTGGAATTGACTGTTAAGGGGAGAAATATCACTGATGTAAAAGTCCCTAACTCACAAAATGATATGAGATACATATCATTCAAGTGAAAATTCAGTATATAGGTTATTTTAATGTTGACATGAGCAACACATTGGACAGAAAATAACTGGTAAACTTGTTATGCTAACAACTAGCACTATTCCAGTGGTATTACTTTGCTACATTTTAGAGCCAAAGTTGAGACTTTAAGAAAGTAAACACAGTTCATTCTATCTTCAGTGTCTTTAAAATGTGTCCAGGTATTCTGTTTACTTTTTATGCACATAAACTAACTAGTTTGGAATTATTTTCTACTATCTTTATACTAATGCTAATGCTAATTGTGTAGGCTAAATAAGCTAATATCCTACAATGCTCAGTCCTACATTTTAGACGTCTAAATTCAGGGGTTGCATCCTTCGAAGGCCACATTTGAAGGCTGATTATGTCACAGCAATGCGAAGAAGACTGTTTCCCCGGGATCTGAAGGATCCATGAGGTGGAACCTTGGTGGCCCACTCTATCCCAAGATTCGTTGCGCATTGGTGGTTCTAGAATATTTTTTGAAAAGGATGGTCCAAGGAATGCAG